AACGAAACAATTTGGATATATCAACAAAGTTGAATGGTAAATTGGCCACCGTAACGATTACAAAAGCTGACGTTTCGAGCGTTAGCCCTTCGTCAGAGCGACGAAGGGCTAACGCTCGAAGGCTTCGACGAAGGGCTAACGCTCGAAACGTCAGCTTTTATAATCGTAACGGTGGCCAATTTACCATTTCAACTTTGTTGATATATTCAAATTATTTCGTTACCCCCACCGACGCAGCCCCAAACAGTTTCTTTAGAAACTATCAGCCTTTATTCATTAGGTAAAAATACTTTTGGACGAAAATACTTTTGGACGAAAAGCACTTGGACGAAAAGACCGGACACCGAAGAGAATTGAAGAGTAGCAGCTACAAATTTCAAGTTTAGACCATCATGTACATCAATGAACCTGGTTAAATTTCAAGAGGTCCCACCATTAAGGAATGAAAGAGAGAATTGTCCACCTTTCCTGTCTTACTCCACCAATCTGTATCTCTTTTCCTTTACTCTCTTCCTTCTATCATGGCTCTTGCAGACTCCACACTATTAAGCAATGTAAGAGTATCATTGTGAACAGTGTCTAACGATTCTGGACCACCAGGAGACAGAAATGGCAAGCCATTAGCAGAGCAGACAGACTGTAGCCAACTCTCTACTTTTTCACACGCCGATATGTTAGTTGGTCTTGGGTCCTGACCAACTTCTTTTTTCTCCACCTCCTCAACAAGAAGGAGGCTTTTGCATTCAGAGCCTTGCCCTGTGACGTCAAGGTGAGAGATTGGAGTGGAATCCACAAAACTGGTATTGCATCTTGGGTCAGAGTACAACTCAAGTTCATCACCATGTGTACCACCATCGCCTTCAAAAAAAGAAAACAGCTTAGGGCCCTCAGATGATGCAGAAGAGGCCTTATTGAAACTTATAAATAAAAATGAAATGCCACCAAAATGGTTTGAAAAACATTGAGAAATGGGGAATTCTATTTATGGGGATATTTATTCGTTACATACTGTCATTGTTAATGTTTGTGTTTGGTAGAAATCCCTTACCATTGATGGATCCACCACAGTCCTTTGAATCAGACAATGAGACAATATCAAAGTGAGATGGCTCGCATGAAGAATTCTCTGCATCCGCAAAGTAGTTTTCTTCACTTTCTCCACAGAGTGCCACATGACCATGTAGAAGATTCTGCCCATGTCCTGTAAAAGATGTAACAAAACACTTCACATCAAAATTCAAGTGTCCAAGGAGACTCAACCCAAAATTTTAACTTCATGGAATTATAAAAGAGATAGGAGTAAAAGTACTTATCCACATATTTTATGGTCAATTTAGGATTTAAAAAGCTACCAAGAAAATTGCATGTCCACTAGCTATGAATTGCAAATGGTGAGTGAAACCTAAAAGGAAAAATGATCTACAAACTGCAAATGTTGAGCATCTAAATAATAACTGTGCAATCTAATATTGTAAATGATGGAAAAAGACCAAATAACATATTGCTATTCATATATCACACATTGCCACACATTGCCACACATTGTGTTAAACAATGTGAGCCAAACATGCAATTCTAACTGGTGGCAATTTAAGCATTTTTCACTCGAGAAGATAGACAAATTTGAGGTCATTTTGTTGCTATGTTCACCACAGGCAACCCAACTTATAGTATTCAATTATAAAATCAACACTAATGCTATTTGTTTGAGGAACGATGAGTGGATTACAATGATGCAAGGTTCTTGTTAAGAAAAAGATACAGTTTTCTTGTTAAGCACTTCATCAACTTACCCAATTGTCCATATATCTTACAAACAACTCTTGAAAGTTGTATCCACTTTTCTGTATTGGCCAAATGTTGGCTGCAGCTTTCCTCTGACAAACTGAAAATCAACATAAATGTGAGGAAACATTCAATCAAAATCTTTTTAGCTTCTTAGGGATTTTTGTTCATTTTAATCCACTACCAACTATTTCTGTGTCTATCAGACAGCTTCCCCATGTCATTCTTTCTTTGTTTAACTGTCTATTTGGCTGGCTGTCAAACTAATTGCCATAAATTCTGCTTGTGTGTCTCCTTGAGAAGAAGTAAATACCTGACTGCAACTCTTTTAAATTTTTAAATTACGACCCAAGCAACACTGTGGTGTGATCCATTTACTAACAGTTGTTTAGAGTAATCATTTATCAATGAGAACCGGTCAAGACATCATTTATCACAAGTCAAAACATGTGTGGTATATGTACCATTTCATCATATCAAAGAACTGCATCAGGTCTTCATACCCATAAGCGAACAGAGGGTCTTCAGCAGAAGGTTTCTCTTCACAGCCATCATTTAGAGCATCTGTTGCTTGCCCCGATAATGCTTCAAAGAACACAAATCACCTTACTTAATACCTTAATGTATAGTTTCCTTTGTCTGTTCCACTTGGGAATAATCACTAAACTATTCACCAAAGTGGAGGTAGTTAGTGGTGGATATATTTACCGAGCTGCAAAGCGGCGAGGTAAATATCCACTGCTAACCACCGACACTGAGGTGAATAGTTGTTTTAGTATATACTAAAACAGTGAGATAATATACACCACCAAAAATTGATTTTAATTCATACATTCCAACATTTTCCCGCACGGAAAGGACTGAAACAACAAGCCGCTCGGATTGCGGTGTGTGATTTTTTGTTGTAGAAAACTGCCGTCTCGTTTTCTTACTGACAGATAAAATTTCTGAAGACATTGGTTTAGCTCTGGTGGCGACATTTCTTCAAATGGTGTTGCAACTCTCTCTGTATGTGAAACCATTATGTAAAAAATATCATTCAACTTTGATTTTCAAGTGAACAAGTGAGGTTACGCGAGATTAATTTGCATTTGTAAACAAAACCTTTCTCATTGGTTTTTATCGATAAACTCCGGGTTAAAACTTAAAAACCAAATTTAGTCGCTTTCTTTGTGTTTTTGGGTACTGCTTTGTCATTAATTTCAGTGATTTCTTCGCTTGTCACAGATGCAAACCGGGACGCCAATTTTTCCAAAGTTGCTCGGAGGTAAATAGCAAAGGATATTCGGAGTTTGACTAGCCAATCAGAGCATGCCTTCAGCGCTATCCACTGTTTTAGTATATAAAACTTTCACTCCAACTATAAATGCAACAAGGAAATTCAGACCTATTGCCTGGTCCACACCAGTTGTCGGTTCCTTTTTAATAAGTAATTTCAGCCACTAATATCAATGTCATTGTCAAACATCTGTTCTTCGTAACTGATTGATGATTGCATGTTAATTTAAATAACCAATATCATCAAAGCAGAGAATGCAGTCTTTTTTAATGCATTCAAACCTCACTTTTTATTTTCTGGTATGAAGCATTGCAAATAAAAATCTATGTTTGTGACTGAAATCAAGATCTGATATCCAAACCTAAAGGGTCATTAACACATGAGGAGCATGCATGGTGCTCATTCTAGTAAATACAGTAATCAGATACTAGTTGGCACCTTGGTATGTGCCATGAATTATCAGAGTATAAATTGTTCTGATGCTGTTGATTAGTAAATACTTTTAACTTAAAGATGGGCAGAGAATTAATCTTCAGAGTCCTCTCCTTCTAATGATATTACCAAGATCACTGGTATATATGAACTTAAAACTAACTCCCGAAAACTTGTAAATGTGCCTTGTTATAAATTGGAGCATGTCAAAATTTTCTTGACAATCAATGATTCTCATTTGCGAGAAGTAAACTTTGATAAACATGTGAGATACCTACCTGAATTCTGCTTGACAGATGCACTCTGTTTCCACCAATCAATGCTGTGTTTTCCCATCAAACCATACAGCTTGGTAACCCCTTCAATACCGTGCTGTACAGCCTTAAAGGCAACCCTGTTCATCAGATCTATATAATGGAAATCCATTTCTCCCAAAAACGTTTTGGATTGTGAGTACACGCGTACTTTCACAATTCCAGGGTGTTCAGCAGCTGAAGTAAACACAAAACAGAAATCAAAGAAGTTGTAAGTCGATCAGTGTCAAGAATAAGACTAGTCTTATGCATAAGTCTTTATAAGTCTAGACGAGTCTTTAAGTATTTATTTATTCTTTAATATTTTTGGTGCAGGGCTCGACACAAACTTTTCAACTTAGTAGCCCAGTGGCTAGTGACATCTCAGATTTTACGACAATTTCAGTTTATTTACTAATCAAACTGGCTTATTTTTAAGTGGAATTGAAAACCACAAGCCAAAACTAAATTTCTACCAGTCTGTGGCTAGTGGGCTACCGTCAGTGCCAAGCCCTGTTGGTGGTTGTGTTTTGTTTTTTTTTAGACATGGCTTGCATCAGTTGTTTGGGGGTATGTCCTTCAAAGGAGAACCTTTAAAATTCCCTTTTATATCTAACTGCAACCAAATTTTGAGGATTATTGCAAATAGCACTCACAGGCAGAATTCAAATAAAATTTAATTCATACAGCTGTCTATGACTAGTAAAAGTATGGATTCAGCTCTTTTTCACCTTTAGTAGAGTAGATGCTGCAGAAGTTCTAGAGAAGCAGTTGGTAATCTCCTCCATAGCAAGGAGGTCACTATGCAAATTAAGCAATAGCCCACCTCAAGGCACCAGTTAACATGATACCAAAATACTGGTGTGTGGAATTGACACAATACCAGGGGAACAGAGCAAGTAAAGCAGATAATAAAACCAATCAGAAGCACACAGCAGTAAAGGTGAAAATCTTCTTCCAGCTCCACCCATTTCATTGACAAAACTGCTGTACTGACTTGGTTTGAACCTTACCTTATAAAATTTTGTCCTCTTTTTTCCAATAACATACTTGTAATATTCAATCTATACTGATTTTCATACATTGCAATTCACTTAATATAGAGATCCCACATGTTAAAGTGAATGTGACATAGTCTTTTGAACCCAACTTTAAACATCCAACTTAAACTACAGACTGAGGCTGTTACATTTTTTATCTCATTCCTAAAACTTGAATTTTGCAAATACTTGCCAGGAATTATCCCAATGAGGTTTACAGTGTTTAATTTCGTCAACTCTACAGGATGTTCTCCAAAATAAGCATATCCACCATTGACGTCTTCTGGAAGCACACCCCCCAAGGCAATAAGGAACTCATCTCCACCCTGCATGGATGTAACAGGGAAGGTTATCAGAAAGTCTAGTTCAACTCTGTCGTGGCGATATCATTAGAGCTTCCTCAGATGACATTGCAAAATTATTAAAATGCAAACCAAAGGGTCTGCAGGTTACTTTCAATATCGTAAAGAAAAGGTTGAGGAAAAAAAAAGACTAAAACTAACTTCCAAAGGGCTTGATGAAGGGATCATCTTCTGCACCACTGTAATGAAACAATTATACATATTATTATCATAATATCACTGCAAACAAAAATTGCATGAATTTCATTGACAGGGTTGCCACTGATCAGGTATGCAAAAGTTACCAAACCTTGCCTTTCCTCACTAAAAATGAATATAAAACAATCTTGGTTTATTACAAACCAACATAATGACCAGCTCCCCGCTGGCTCGTTGGCTCAGTTAGTAGAGCCCATACTGCACTGGTATTGCAGAAGTCGTAGGTTCAAATCCTGTACAGGCCTGAATTTTTCTCAGGCCTTACTTTCACCAATGCTTAAGTAGCATTCATTACCGAAAAGATCCCTTTTATATTCCTCCCTTGCCTTTTCTCTTACAAAATTTCCTATAATCTTGCAATATAGAAAGAAAATCATGAGAGAAAAAAAAAAATTTTAACTGCTTCTGCTTCTTTTGGAAACAACTGGTAGTTGTTTCTAACCGTTTGACTTTAAGAGCTCCTACAAGCATCATTTGATGAACCATTAAATTCAAAACCTTAAGAGAAAACTTTTTTGGGGAAAATTGTCTTATGAAACTACAAAATTGTGTCCTGAAACTACAAAATAAAATTTTCTGACCATAACAAACAATATACTAGATATCTGCATGACCTTCAATAATATTTATAACTTTTCCCTGACCAACAAAAAAATTACTTTTTTCACTGATTTCTTTCCAGACCATGACACGTACCACTAACCAATTTAACTAATAATTACTTCTGACTAGAAATTATTTAAGGCAAACAATTCCTTAGCAGACAAAGGATCAACTTCTGAAAAAATGTCAAAATAAATAGAAAACAATAACAACCACTGACAACAACAAAAAAAGTATTGGTGCCACAAACAGACAGAACAGGTAGCTCCATAGACTGAAAGGAAAATAATGTGAGCATACAATTATCTTGTTCTTTACTGTTGAGAGCCTCAGGGATTTCCACTCTTGAATCAGCTGCAAATGTAAGAGTGAAACTGGTTAGAGAAGAGCGCTGAATGGTGTATGTAGCTCTCAATTGAAGGAATATCAAAACAAAAGCTTACAGTTTTCTGATTCAGCATTGCTGTTTGCTTCCTCACTTTCCACTCTTGAATGAACTGTTCAATTTGGAACAAAATTTTAAACAAATTCAGTAAAATGAAATTAGGAACATGTTTTATGACATGTTTTATGACAAAGAACTTGTTTTATGACAAAGATGAGCATACAGTTAACATGTTCTTCACTGTTGAAAGCCTCAGCACTTTCCACTCTTGAATCACCTGTAAACATTAGAGTGAAACTGGTTAGAGAAGAGCACTGAATGGTGTATGTAGCTCTTAATTGAAGGAATATCAAAACAAAAGCTTACAGCTTTCTGGTTCAGCATTGCTGTTTGCTTCCTCACTTTCCACTCTTGAATGACCTGTTCAATTTGGAACAAAATTTTAAAAAATTCAGTAAGATGAAATCATGAACATGTTTCATGACAACTGCCATACCCTAAGAATAAAAATAAAAACTAAATATGAGCATACAGTTTACATGTTCTTCACTGTTGATAGCCTCAGCACTTTCCAGTCTTGAATCACCTGCAAATATTAGAGTGAAACTGTTAAGAGACAGGCACTGAATGGCATATGTAGTACAAGATTGTAGGAACATCAATTGAAAACAAAAGCTTACGGCTTTCTGGTACAGCATTGCTGTTTGCTTCCTCCTTTTCCACCACTGAATGAGCTACTCCATTTGGAATAAAGTCTAAAAAAAATTGACATGAAATCAAGTACATGTTTTATGACAAATGCTATTTCCTTGGAATACTAATAAGGCTCCCACAAAAGAACTTCTCTTTAAAGTCAAAAGCATGAGCACATATCTTCATTGGCTAAACACTTAAGGATACAGTAGACTTTTTATTTAAGTCAAACTAAGCATTATTATTTTAACTATAGTTTGCAAGAAAAATTTTGGTAAAATATTAAAACACAAAAATGTATTTCTGAAGTGACTACTTTACCCCGTCAAAGTGTTAAGAGCCAATTATAAAATGTCAACATAACTGATTTCTAAAAGGCTGATAGTTTCAAAAGAAACTGTTTGGGGCTGCGTCGGTGGGAGTAACGAAATAATTTGGATATATCAATAAAGTTGAAATGGTAAATTGGCCATGGTGGCCAATTTACCATTTCAACTTTGTTGATATATCCAAATTATTTCGTTACTCCCACCGACGCAGCCCCAAACAGTTTCTTTTGAAACTATCAGCCTTTTAGAAATCAGTTATGTTGACATTTTATAATTGGCTCTTAACACTTTGACGGGGTAAAGTAGTCACTTCAGAAATACATTTTTGTGTTTTAATATTTTACCAAAATTTTTCTTGCAAACTATAGTTAAAATAATAATGCTTAGTTTGACTTAAATAAAAAGTCTACTGTATCCTTAAGTGTTTAGCCAATGAAGATATGTGCTCATGCTTTTGACTTTAAAGAGAAGTTCTTTTGTGGGAGCCTTATTAGTATTCCAAGGAAATAGCATTTGTCATAAAACATGTACTTGATTTCATGTCAATTTTTTTTAGACTTTATTCCAAATGGAGTAGCTCATTCAGTGGTGGAAAAGGAGGAAGCAAACAGCAATGCTGTACCAGAAAGCCGTAAGCTTTTGTTTTCAATTGATGTTCCTACAATCTTGTACTACATATGCCATTCAGTGCCTGTCTCTTAACAGTTTCACTCTAATATTTGCAGGTGATTCAAGAGTGGAAAGTGCTGAGGCTATCAACAGTGAAGAACATGTAAACTGTATGCTCAT